GAAGGACTGACTAAAGAGGGTCCTGGACAGTTTGGGAAATCCTCACAGAAATCCTCTTGAGTAGTTTGCATGGAATTTATATATTTGACATTTATATATTTGACATTTGGCATTTATACATTTGACAAGATGGTAAGGAGAGATATTTGAGCTCAGGGTTGAAGACAGTGGTGCAAGTGGGAAGTGGTAAGGTGGGACGAGTGAACCTTAGTTCAGTACAGCTGGAATGTGAAGTCTGTGGGGAAGTAGCAGAAGATGAGGTTACAGGCAGCAGCAGCAGCAGTAAAAATCACAAAATGTCTTATGGGACAGCTTAAAGAGTTTGGATTTTATTCTGTGTGTATCAGGGAAACTTCGGAGGATAAACTGAAAAATGACCCAATTCTATTTGCCTTTTACAGAGGTCAGCTATGTGCAGGTAGACCAGCTACCCTGTGTAGTCATGATTTAGAATGGAAAACCCCAAACCCAAAGGGTATCCTGGAAGCAAGAGCTCTTGACTTACGCAGTTATCCTCCTATTCTGCCACATGGCTTCTCAGAAGATTCACATAGGCGCACCAATTGAGCTCTTTAAAGTATTTACTGAAACAAAAATTACAGTTGCTTTCAGGGCCTAGTGAGAGGGGAGTATAGAGCCAACTCTCTCCTCTCTTCTTTTTGTAGGGTTCTCTCATCTACAGAGTAAAGTTATAATAATTTTGATTGATAATAATTGCTTACACTTACAACATGACATTTTCCTAGGTGCTTTACAACTTAACTCATTTAATTTTCATAACGACTCTGTATGGTAAATATTATTTCCATTTCATAGATGAGGAAATTGAAGTACATAAAAGTAAGTGACTTGACTAAGGTCACACATCCAGCAATTAGCAAAGCTGGGATTAAGACAAAATCTACCATGATGCTTCCTGGTTGGGTTTGACTTCAATCCAACTATATCCTGAACCCAGATGTTTAAACAAAAATAGCCATGAAAAGATTTGTCTTTAAGTTTGAGTCTCAGTATTGCCAAATTTAAATCTTGCCTAATTCAGAGGAAGAAGAAAGTTTTTCTAGCTGAGGATGGCTTCTTAGGAGAAAGTATTATTTTAATACAGCTTTAAGAGATGAAATCTTTTTTTTCCAATTAGAATTGACATTAAATATTATTTTATATTTGTTTCAGGTGTATAGCATTGTGGTTAGACATTTATATAATTCACAAAGTGATCTCCCCAATTAGTCTAGTCCCCACTTGGCACTATACATAGTTACTACAATATTAACTATATTCCCTATGCTGTACTTCACATGCCCATGACTATTTTGTATTTGTACTTCTTAATCTTTTCATCTTTTTCACCCAGTCCCCCAACCCACCTCCCATTTGGCAATCACCAGTTTATTCTTTATATCTATGAGTCTGTTTTCATTTTCTTTGTTTATTTTGTTTAGATTGCACGTATAAGTGAAATCATATGGTATTTGTCTTTCTCCGTCTGACTTATTTCACTTAGTATAGTATCCTCTAGGTCCATCCGTGTTGTTGCAAAGGGTAAAATTTCATTTTTTTATGGCCGAGTAACATTCCATTGTACATATGTACTACATCGTCCTTGTCCAGTTGTCTAATGATGGACACTTAGGTTGCAACCATATCTTGGACTACTAAATAGCGCTGCAGTGAACATAGGAGTGTATCTTTTAAAATTAATGTTTTAGTTTTCTTTGGGTAAATTCCCAGAAGTATAATTTCTGGGTCATAAGATAGTTCACTTTTTAATTTTTTGAGGAAATTTTAAACTGTTTTACATAGTGGCTATACTAATTTGCAATCCCACCAACAGCATGAGGATTCTCTTTTCTCCATATCCTCACCATTGCTTGCTTTTTGATTTATTGATGATAGCCATTCTGACAGGTGTGAGGTGATATCACATTGTGGTTTAATTTGCATTTCTCTGATGATTAGTGACATTGAGCATCTTTTCATGTGTCTATTGACCATCTATTTGTATGTCCTCTTTGGAGAAATGCCTATTTAGAGCCTCTGTCCTTTTTTCAATTGGATTGTTTTTTAGGTGCTGAGTTGTATGCGTTCTTTATAAATTTTGGATATTAACCCCTTATCAGGTGTGTCATAGGCACATCTTCTTCCATTCAGTAGGCTGTCTTTTTGTTTTGCTGATGGTTCCATTGCTGTATGAAAATGTTTTAGTTTGATCTAAATAAATCTTGAGTGAAATTTTGAGGAGTAAAAGTTGTTGAGAAGGAAGGGCAGCAGTCCTATAGCCAAGTGAAGTAATCCAACTACAAGCTCTGTCTACCACTGTTTACAACTAAAAACTGGAGAGAATGCAAATGCACCTATGTGAGAACTCTGAAAATAGCAGGCAGATAAGATACTGGAGTCAAAACTTGAATGATAATCCATCATGCCTTTGTCACATGGAATTGCATGATCATGTGGGAGGCTAAAACTCTGAGATGGCCCCATCTTTTCAGCCAGAAGAACCAGGAAAAGGAGCCACTGGAAGTCAGTCAGGAAATCTCTGAGAAGAGAGAATTAGAAGAGGGGACCCAATAACTCTATGCATGGACTGATATAGGTCATAGGCACACTACAAGGTGTACATGCATGGGACAGACCCAAAGAAGCACAGCAAAGGTTTTGGGAACTTAACTATAATACTAACACTACCCAAGTACCAGATAAACCTTTGGTTGCCTATGTGACAGGCAGAACTTAACAGCCTAGTGAAGACTTTGAAAACCAAAAATCAGATCTACCTGTTCCAAAAGATAAGGTAGAACTTGCCATCTGAACCTAAGTAGGTTAATTGTCTGCTAAACAAATAAGCAAAAATATCAGTTTTTTTTCCAAGAATTTTAGTAGGATCCAGAGTCTCACACATATATTCAAAAGTCCAGGATATAATCCGAGTTTACTTGATGTAAAAAGAACCAGGAATATACAAACTATATTCAAGGAAAAAGATAATAAATAGGTACTAATCCTGAGATGACTCAGATGGTGCAATGATCAGACAGACTTAAAGTAGCTATTATAACTGTTCTCTACTCTTGAGATAAATGAAAAAATAGAAGTTCTTAGCAGAAAAATAGAAACTATGCAGAATAACCAGATTGGAATTTTAGAACTAAAGAGACAACATCTAAAGTAATAAATTCACTGCATGAGCTCAGGGACAGAAAAGATGACGGCGAAAAAAAGTCAGTGAACTTGAAGATAGAACAATAGAAATTACACAATATTTTGTATAATATATTTGTAAATGTACTTTTTTATTGGAAAAAGTAAGCAGTGTTTCAAGATACCGTGGGACAACACCAAAAAATTGAAAATTCATGTTTTTGGAGTCCCGTTCCAGAAAGTTAAAGGAAAGATATGGGTACAGAAAAAATATTTGAAGACACAATGGCTGAAAATATCCCAAATTTGGTGACATAAATTTACAAACTAAAGAATCTCAGTGAATCCCTAACAGGATAAACTCAACAACTACTCAGCTACATCATAGTCAAACTGCCGAAAACCAAAGGTCAAAAATCATTGAGAGCGTCCAGAGAAATATAGCACATTGAACATAAGGGAAACCTATTCAGACAACTACAGACTTCACATCTAAAACTATATAAGCAAAAGACAGTAGAATGACATCTTTAAAGGGCAAGAAGAAAAGAACTGTTATCCCATACTTTTATATTCAGAAAAAATATCATTCGGGAGTGAAGGCAAAATAAAGGTACTCTCACATGAAGGAAAACCAAGAAACTTTGTTTTTGGCAGACCTGCTAAAGAACTGCTAACGGAAGTTTTTCAGGCTGAAGGGAAATGACATCAGGGGGAAATTTTGAATTTGAGGAATAAAAGAATGAGAGAATTGATAAATATCTAACACAGTAGATTCCCATTAGTAAAAATATACACAAAAATACAAAAATCATCTCTAATTCTCATGATAAAGGAGTAACTACATACTACTGGCAATATTTTGGATATATTTTCTTCAAGTCATTTTTCTCTGTAAATAAGCATTTCTTTATTTTTTCCCTCCCCCACTCCTTACTTCTTTTGTTCTCTCTCCATCCACTAAGATTATGCAATATATATTTTTATTATATTCTTTACCAATTTACAGTATATTATGAACACTTTCCTATTTTGCTAAGAAAACTTAATGAATTATTACAAAATTTTTTAGGTTTGATAATGGTATTTTTGGTTATATTTTTAAATATTGGTTGTATTTTTAAAGGAATACCTTTTAGAGAAATATACTGACATATTTATTGGTGCAATGATAAGCTGCCTGGGATTTGCTTAAAATACTTAAGGTTGAAGTCTGGATGGATATCAGTGAAACAAGACTGGCCATGAATTAATAATTGTTGATGCTGGGTGATGGGTACATGATAGTTCATTATATTACTTTCTATAATTTTCTATACGTATGCAACTTTTTATTAAAAAACTAAGAAATCTTTATAAATGTGATTTCTAGTCTTTTAATCATATCCCATCCTGTAGACATTCCATAATCTTTAACCATTCCTTTATTGTGAATCAAAGTTGTTTCAGGTTATATGTGGGCTGAGATAGAACTACAGTCTGACAGCTTCTCTGGTTATTTCCTTTTTGGACATGGAATTATTGAGTTAACAGAGAGTGGACATTTTTAATGCTTTGATATATTTTGCCAAATTGCCCTTCCAAAGGGATGCTGCATGTTATTTTCACACAAGAGGTATATGAAAATGCCCTTGTCAGCACTCGCTTGCACGCACACGCTCTCTCTCTGTCTCTCTCTCTTTGTCTCTGTCTCTCTCTCTCTGTCTCTCTCTGTATGTATGTATGTATATATATATGTATATCCTTTATTAATTTGATGAGGGAAAAGGTGGTATGTTGTTTTATTTCAATTTATATTTCTTTGATTTCCAGTGACATTGAATCCCAGTCTGTCGCTGAATTATTTCCTATCCTTTTAGGGAGGAGGCAAAGGAGAAGAGTAGGAGAAAAGAGATTTATTGCGCCTTCCCCACTTGGAAGATGAGGGGCAGATGCAGACACAGGTAGCTCTTGGTTCAAATCCTGTTTCTGGCACTTACTAATTCCTGGCTTTGTACAACCATAAACCTCTCTAGGTTTCAGAGGTTTTCAGTAAAGAAATAGAGCAGTGATACTGGCCTTTGTGAGTGTGGGACAATAGAAATGTATAGAGAAAAAGCATGGTATGCCATGGTCAATCTGAAGGCAGTAGCTTTTGTGGTCTTTGGGAAGCTGAGGCTCAGGATATAAAGGACCTCCTGCTCTGCTGCACAGAGGTAGCAAGG